TCACCATTTTGTATATACTTGAGCCCATTGCTGCAGTCACTGTGTCAGTCCATCTGGTTAAGGGTCTTCCTCTTTTTCACTGACTTTCTAAGCATGATGTCCTTTTTAAGGGAATAGCTTCTCCTAACAATATTCTCAAAGTATATGAGAGAAAGTTTTACCATCTTTGTACTTTATCCAAGACATATCTCTTTGTTTTTTTGGTAGTTCATGGGATATTCAATATTTTTCTCTAACACCACAGTGTTCAGTGGCATTAATTCTTGCTCATTTTCCAGTTCTCATATGCATAGCAAGTGGCTGAAAAGACCATGGCCGGTATCAGGCACACCTTAGTCTTCAGACTGACATCATTGCTCTTCAATATTTTAGAGAGGGTCGCTTATAGTAGCCTTGCTCTAAGCCATACATCTTCTTATCGCCTGGCTTCTGACACTAAACTTTTTAAATTGTCTAACATTTTAGCAAATGTGCAAGTCATGTTGCCCAAATGACTGGTTTTCCTCAAATAAACTGCCATAGAGGCATGGTGGTTTCCCGAAACACATTTAAAAAATGCTTGCTGTTATTTATTTATTTGCTTTCCTAATATTTTTTGAGTATCTGTAATGTTTCACTGTGACACTGTTGTGCCAAATGCAATAATAGTTACCCATGGTGGACAGTGGTAGAGCTCCCTGATTAAAACAAGCTTGGAAGCAGGAGTGGCATCCACTTCTGAAATAGCTTGCCTCCAGAAACTCTATGAATGTGGAGAAAATGATGAAAGTTATACAAGTAAATATTCAGATCTTTGATTCATAGGGGTGCTTCATGAGTTCAGCTCTTTCTTTCATAGGATTGCTATGAGTTGTCTATGACTCAATGGTGCCTAACAACAACAATAATAATATGTCGGATTTGTTACCAGTGCTGAAAAGTTGAATGTCATCATGCTGTCACGGGGTTCAAAGTTGAATAGATTCTTGTAGGCAGTTATTGTGCTTGTATATATGTATGTATCTTCAAGAGCTCTGGTGGTTATTAACCACTCTTCTTACTGTTTGTTTTTGCAACATAACTATCTTGATGAATTCTTGTTCCTACATTGTTTATATACTCCCTTTACACCAAGATATGTGTAAAACAATCCCATTATGAATTACTAAAGGGATGTTTCTGGCTATGTTTTCTTTAAACATAATCCCCGGCGGATGTAAACAGTTAACACTTGGGCTGCTAACTTGAAAGAGAGGTTTGAATTTACCCAGAGATATCAGGAATATGGTCTTCTGACCTCCTAAAAAAGCTAGAGAAAAGTTTACACACAGAAGCAATCTTGATGGTTTGTAAGGGATGAGAAAGGAGGGAGAGGCGTGTAAAACTTAAGAAATGATAAGTTTGGTGAAGGGAAAGGGAATACGCAATAAAGAGTTGATTAGACAGTATATTAAATTGGCTGCGTAAGGGGGAAAGGAGGAAAAATGTGCATTAATGAACCAATGAAAACCAACTTCTAAAGTGAACCTTCACTAAAATGAAAAACAGCACAACAAATTGATCAGTGGTAATGAATATTATAAAACAAATGATCTATATTATTATGTGGAAAATAAAATTGATTTCTAAATTTTCACTAAAAAAGTCAGCCATTGAAAACATTGAGCACTGTTCTTAATGAGATACACACGTGACCACCTTAGAATCAGCTTGATTGTTGTTACGTACTATAGAGTCTCCTGCAACTCATAGAGATCCTATGTACAACAGCCCTGAACCCTGACCTGTCCAGAACCAGTCTTACTCTCTTTGACATGTCTAACCCCATTATCTCAGTTACTGTCAATCCATCTCATCCAGGATCTTATCCACTTGCAGTGTCCTTCCACCCTTCCAAGCATGATATCATTCTCCAAAGACTGATCCCTCCTGGGAACATGCCTGAAGTATGTGAGATGGAACTTCAAACCCTTACTGCTAGGGAGCAACTTAGTTTCACCCTCTCCAGGGCAAGCCTGTTCTTTTTGCAGTCCTTAGAATATTCAACACTCTTCTCCAGCACCACAACTCAAAGACATCAGTTCTCTTGTCATCCTTAATCATTGTCCAGCTCTCTGATGCAAAGCAAATAATGGCAGAAACTATGGCCTGGCTGGTAGTAACTGTTTGTATTTATTTTTATTAATTTTTAATATATCAATATTATATACCTATCAATATTAACATACCCACTGCTTTGGCCTTGGTACTCTGTTTATATTACTCTCTGATGTAGCTTTAGTTCTGAACTACTTCTTTTGTCATCTTCCTATTTCCTTTTCTTTCAACTTTCTTTTAAAATACTGTTGAAGAGAAGTATCTAAGTAGATTTCTGAGCAAAGATTTAGAACAGTGTACAAAGAGGGTATGACTTGGCACTGTGAAGCCATAATTATATTTGTAGATTATACAATGAAGCAGAAGGCTAAAACGAAATAAGTGTGCATTAGAGAATCTTTCAGAAAAACTTTGGATAAATGACACTTATGCTAAGACCTCAAAAGTGTACAGTGAGTGACTGAGAAGATATGGGAAGAATTCTAGGAAGGGAGAATAATCTTCTGACACCTGTAAGGATCTCAGTAGGTTCAACAAGTGAAAGAGAGAGTGTTATTAAACTAGACTATCATGACAGATTGGGAGAGATGCAAAACTAGGCAGAGGAGGTAGGCAGAGCTCAGCTATTAGTGGGGAAATTTTTAAACCATGTTAAGACTACAGTCTGCAAAATAGATTGCATCTCAACATCAAGAAGACAGAAATCCTTACCACTGGCTGGATCATGATAGATGAAGAAAAGATTGAAATTATCAACGATTTTCTCTTATTAGGATCCATGATCAGCACTCTTGGTACCAGCAGTTAGGAGATCGTGAAACATATTTCATTGGGCAAGTCCTCTGCCATGGCCCTCCAAATTACTGAGGAGCAGTGATTTCTGGTTGAAGACTAAGTTATGCCTAATTCAAGCCATGGTCTTTTACATCACTTGTTATGCATCTGAGAACTGGACAGTGAAATAAGGATGACAAAAGTGGAATCTATGCCTTTGAGCTCTAGTGTTGGAGAAAAGTACTGAATAACTCATTGACTGCCAAAAGAAGAAATATATCTCTTGGAGTAACTTGGAGTAACCAAAATATTCCTTGGAGACAAATTTAACAAAGCTTCATAATTTGGGCATGTTGCTAGGAAAGAGGGTATTTCTTGTAAAGATTCCATGCTTGGAAAAGGTGGAAGGTCAGCAAAAGAGAGGAAGACCCTCAACCAGATAGATTGACCCAGTGACGGCAGCAATGGGCTCAGGTATGTCAGAGATGATGCGGATGGCACAGGATAGGACAGGGTAAGATCTTTTGTTCACAGGGTGGCTATGAAGCATATTTGACTCGATGGCACCTAACAACAGCAACAACAGTGATTTTGTACTTTATTGGAAGAAAATGGAAAAGATATTAAGCATTTTAAGTTGAATGGTTACCCATTAGGATTTGTTCTTCAAAATTTTGTCTCAAGACAAGTGTATATATGTAGAAATTAATTACAGGTTTTTGCCTTGGTCCAGGCTAGACATGGTGGTAGATTGATTAGCGTGGCAGCATTAGAGAGACTATGCAAAAAAGTGCAATTTTTTTATACAATATGGTTGAATCGCTGTAGTGATCTGGTTTGAGGAGGGAAGTTGAAAAAGGGTCAAGGATAAAATTTTCATATGATTGTTGCTCATATTTTTGGTGGATATTTTAACATCTTGTATTTAAATATTTTACATCTTGCAAATGGAACCTATTTTTTTTTTCCTCTTTCACAACAAACTCTCTCTCCCAGCTTCTATTTTTGTGAATGGTGTCCCTGATGTTTAAGTGACCTAGACTCTAAAATCTTTCTTACTCCTTCCATTCACTTAGACATCAAAGCTTAAGGATTTTACCTCTGCCGTGTACATCTCTTCTGGGATTTTGTTGTTGTTTGTTTTTCACAGTTTTGTTGTCTTTTAAGTAATAATTCACTTATTTTATTCTCATTACCTTTTGGGGAGCTCTGGTGGCCTATTAAGGAAGAAGTGGCACTGCCAACTCAAAGGCAGACAGTTTGAATCCGGCAGCTGTTCTGTGGGACAAAGTAGTGCAGTTTACAGCCTCTGCAAACCCACTGCAGGGTCAGCTATGCATAGAGAATTGAAGACACATAACAACATTACCTTTTGCCTTTATTTTTTTAGTATTATGATCTCCTTAACAGCATTAATTGTTTTTTCCATTCAAGTCCCTGCGGACAATAACTGCCATTTTTATTTTGTATTTTAGTACAGAGTTCATTATAGCATGATAAATAAAAAAATTAAAATACTTGCTTTTCCCACAGTAATTCTTCATTTTTACCACAAATTTTATCTCTTTCTTGAAAAGGAACCACAAACTTGTATCTCTTTGTCCAAGTCATTCAGGATCTTCATCTTTTGCTTAAAGAATAAATCTGTTGCAGAGCTCTTAGATAATGGCTGGTGATATATAAAGCATGATTGGATTCCTGTAGTAATTTAATGAAAAATATATTTTTGAGCCTCTTTATACTGCACCCCTTAATACCACAAAGAGTAGTCCCCCTCATCGCCTAAGAAGGGACTATAGCTTGTATTTACCATCTCCACTGTTCTCTAGAGTTAAAAACAAGGGGGGTGGGATGATGACGCTTTCATTTAATGTATTTTATCTTTTAATTTTATAGAAATCTTTGTTGAATTAAATTTTTATCCATTATCGTTCATAATTCAGTATACATTTCTTAGTTTAATATTAATTTTTAAAAAGCTATTCCAAATGTTCTATGTACATTTGGTATCCTCTGTGTACCTTTTAATACATTGCTTTATAGAATGAATGTTTGTTGAAAATGGTTGTTCACTTTGGAAATACCTACTTATAATTGTTTTTCATATCTTGATATGAACTTTCATATATCTTTTTTTACTATTTTTTAAGGAATAAGAAAATTTTAAATAAGAAGAAGTTGAAAAGAAAACAGAAGAGCAAATCAAAAATAAAGACAAGAAGCAAGGTAAATGTGCTAATTGATGGCAAATGAGGATTTTTTTCATATCATTTGAATAAAAATACTAATATTAATAACATGTGGATATAATTTGTATGCTATTCCATTTCTTTGTGCTGAAGTATAATATAGCCTTGGATGAACACAAGTAGTTTTTATTCTAAATATTTCTGCCTTAGGATAGACAAAAATTAAATAGAATTATTTTTATATTTTATTGTTATACAGAAATAAGGAGATGGATTAATAGATTATTCTGAACTTGCATTAAATACAGAGAGTACCTAACAGATGGCTTGCTATACATATACAAATTCATATTTCCTAGTCTTTAAAGTTGTTATAAAATAATTTTTTAAAAAAACTTCTTTGGATTTCACTTTTAATGTAAAGTTGAGTCTTGAGTGTTTCTTTACCAGTAACATGGAAGTTAATATCTCATTGCTGAAAATGATTTATTATTCATTCTTGTTGTTATCTTTAGTTCCTTGGGGTGACATATCAGTTTCTCTTCTCCTTTTTCACTTTCACTACCATCTTCTAGAAATGGAATAGAATTGGCTAGTGTTGGAACTTGGATTTGGTTCACCATATCCTCTCTTGACATGACAAAGTAGATGAATTTATGAGACTCTTGATACAGTTTAAGTGTTCTAAGCTTGCTTTATCTGTTGCTGACTGTGCAAAAGAAGAGATGGTGTAGAATATTTGAATTAGAAAAGTCTAAACAGATGACAGAGTAAGTCTAATGAATAGAGCCCACCTCCCAGTCCAAAAAACTTGATCAGGGATTCCAGAGAAAAGCCTTGGTCAAAAAAGGGTAGAATAAGAATTCAAAATCTCACATATGTTGGACTTGATAGAGCTGAGGAAGGTGGGTAAACTCCTGAAAATATTACCCTGAGATAATTTTTAAACTATAAGTTATTGTTTAAAATGTGCCCTCAAGTCTTACCACTAACTTTTTAGCTTAACTAGAAATAAGGTTTGCCTTGAGTATTTTGCTCTTTTAAGAAAATCTTTTCAATTACTTCCTATGCATCTGAAAATTGGACAATGAACAAGGATGACAGAAGTAGAATCAATGTCTTTCAATCATTACTATTAGTTGTCCAGCTTTCAGATGCGTAGGAAGAAGTTGAAAATATCATAACTCCGATCAGGTGCTCCATACTCTTTCAACTGACATCCTACTCTATAGCACTTTGAAGTGGTCCTAGACTGCAGATTTTCCTAATGAATTGATGGACAACTTCCATTTCCCCCTCACCCCCCATATATCATGATGTTACCAATTGGCCCAGTTGTAAAATTTTTTTTTCTTGATGTTGAGATGTAATCCATACTGAAAGGTTTAGTTCTTGATCTTTTTCAGTAAATGCTTTACGTTTTCTTCCCTTTCTATAAGCAAAGTTGTATCATCTGCATAAAGCAGATTATTGAATTTTCCTCCAATCCTGATGCCACATTTTCCTTCATATATTCTGGCTTCTTGGATAAATTTCCTGGCATACATATTGCACAGGTAGGGAGAAAAGAATACAATCCTAATGCACACTTTCCCTGATTTTCAGTTATGTAGTGTTCCCTCGTTAGATTTGACAGCAGCTTCTAGCACTCTGTACAGACAGCTTTAGCACAACTGATGTTCTGCAATTCCCATTCTTCTCAATGTTAGCTACAATTTGTTATGATGCACGTGATCAAATGTCTTTGCATAATCAGTAAAACACCAGTAAATATCTTCACAAGTACTCTCTTCTTTCAGCCAAGATCCTTCTGATATTCCTAATGCCAAGGCTTCTTCTGACTCCAGTTGGACTCTCTGTCATTTTTTGTTGATGTCCTACTGTACCAGCTATTTTTGAATGATCATCAGCAAGATTCTACTTTTATGTGATATTAACTATATTGTTCAATATTTTGCATATTCTATTGGTTCATCTTTTTTCTTTTTTTAAATGGAAACAAATATAACTCTCTTCTACTCAGTGGGCCAGGTAGCTATCTTTCAAATTTCTTGACCTTGTCTAATGAACATATCCAGGGCTGCATCTGTTTTCTGTTTGTTAAGATACCTCATGTGGTATTGTTTCAATTCCTAGGACCTTGTTTGTTTTTTTTTGCTAATGCCTTCAATGCAGCGTGAACATTTTTCTTCATTACCACTTGGTCTTGAACACATTCTACTTCCTGAAATGGTTCAACATTGACCAGTTCTTTTTGGTCTTGACTTTTCCATTTTCTTTTGATACTTACTTTGTCATTCAATATTTTGCAACCCTTGAAGATTGCAATTTAAAGTTTAAGTTTATTCTTCAGTTCTTTCATCTTGAGAAATGCAGTATCTTCTCCTTTTGTTTTCTAACTCTAATTCTTTGCACAGTTTTTTAGTACGTTGACTTCTTGAGCTGCGTGTTGAAATCTTCTTTTTAACTCTTATTTCAGCATTTCTTCCCTTGTTTTGATCTCTGCCTCTGAGAAGAATGGGAATCAGAACATTTTATTATGCTTATGCAAAACCTGTATTTGGACCAAGAAGTAGTCATCAGAACAGACCATGGAGATACTGCATGGTTCAAAATCAAGAAGGGTGTATGCCAGGGACATATTCTGTCTGCATACCTTTTCAACCTATATGCAAAACAGATCATCCGGGAGGCTGGGCTGTATGAGGAGGAATGTGGCATCAGGATTAGAGGAAGATTCATGAACAACCTGCATTATGCAGATGACACAACCCTGCTTGCTAAAACCAAGGAGAACCTGAAGTGCTTGCTGCAGAAGGTCAAGGACTGCAGCCTTCAATATGGATTGAAGTTCAACATTAAGAAAACAAAGATTTTCACCTTTGGGTCGATTGGCAACACTATGATGGATGGTGAAGAGATTGAGATTATTAACAGCTTTAGTTTAATTGGCTCCACAATCAACACTCTTGGTACTAGCATCTAGGAAGTCAAGAGATGAATTGCATGGGGAAAGTCAGCTGTCAGGGACCTCTCCAAAGTACAAAAGAGTAACAACATCAGTTGAAGACTAAGGTGTGCCTGATCCAGGCCATCATTTTTGCAATTGTTTGTTACATGTCAGAGAGCTGGATAATGACTAGGGATGACAGAAAGAGAATTGATGCCTTTGAGCTGTGGTGCTGGAGAAGAATGCTGAATATACCATGAAATGCCAGGAGAAAAACAGGTTTGTCCTAGAGAGGGTGAAACCAGGCTGCTCTTTGGAGGCAAGGATTCTGAAGCTTCATCTGACCTACTTTTGCAATGTTGCAAGGAGGGACCAACCCTTGGAGAGGGACATCATACTTGGAAGGGTGGAGGAACAGCACAGGTGAAGAAGACCCTCGATGAGATGAATTAATACAGTGACTGAGGTAATGAGGGTAGGTGTATCAGAGACAGTCAAGTTGGCACAGAATAGAGCAGGTTTCAGGGCTGTTTTATAGAGGGTCATTATGAGTCGCAAGCAACTCGATGGCACATAACAACACAACAACTTTATAGTGCAAATTTCAGTCTCTCCTGACATCATTTTGGACTTTTCTTCTTTTTACTTTTATCACTGTTCTCGTAGTAAGAGTCTCAAATTCTGCTGCTGGATCCATTCAATTTAATGGCAATATTAACCAGTTCACTGTAGATTGCTGATTCTAGCTAGTCCCCTTGTGGATAGGCTAACACTAACACACCCTATTCACATACTGCTTCCCATTCACATGACAAAGTAAAATTCTGTCGCAAGGAAAGCTATTTGAACAATAAACCCTTAACACCACCTTAACACCTTTCAGTATTATGTAGAGCCCTTCCCTGTCTCTCATGCTGGTTTTTACCTTGAAATCTATTTTATCAGAGATTACTATTGCCACTTCTGTTCTTTTTTTGTTGGGTTGGGTTTTTTTAATAGCCATTTGGTTGGTTTATATTTTCCCCATCCTTTGATTTTTACTTTATTTTTATCCTTTCTTAAGTGTATATCTTGTAGGTGGCATATTGATGAGTTTTTAGTTTTTTATAAATGATGATACTTTTTCTCTCTTAACTGATACATTTAAAACATTAATTGTCAGTGTGATTATAGGTTGTTGTTATATCATCAAGTCAACTATGACTCATAATGACTCTGAACAGCACACTGGAATCCTGTCCTCTTCTGTGTCATCCTCACCGTCCCTGCTGTACTCAAGCCCATTGATTGCTCCAGTCATAGTATCAATCCGTCTCATTAAGAGTCTTCCTCTCTTTTGCTGACAAGAGCTCTGTCTCCCAGTATAATGTCCTTTGTGAGATGGAGTTCATCCTTATTTCTAAGCAGCATCCTAGCTGCACCTTCTCTAAAACATAGTTGTTTGTTCTTTTGGCAGTCCATGGGGTATTCAGTACTCTTTTCCAACACCATAACTCAAAGGCATTGATTCTTCTGTTGTCCTTAGTCAATATACAGGTTTCATATGCATAAGAAACAATTGCAAAGAGCATGGCTTGAATCAAGTACACCTTATTCCTCAAACTAACATTGCTGCCCCTCATACACTGAAGAGGTCCGTGACAACAGACTTTCCCAACACAATACATTTTTAATTGTTTGATTGTTTTTGAAAAGGTATTGAGTGTGGATCCAAGCAAGATGAAATAATAAACCACTTCACTTTTCTCTCTGTCATTATGTTGCTTGTTGTCATAGTGGTAAAGAGTATTTTCTTAAGGTTGAGAAGTAGTCCATATTGAAGACTGCAGTCTTTGACCTTCTGCCTCAAGTCCTCCTTGCTTTCAGCAAGCAAAGTTATTCCATCTGCATAGTACAGGTGTCTAATGCTGCATCCTCTGATTTTGATGCCACATATTTCTTCATAGAATCCAACTTCTTGAATGATTTTTTTCTACGTATAGATTGAATAAGGAGAGAGAGCAAAGCCTTAATGTACATCTTTACTGATTTTAAACTACACAGTGTTACACTATTCTGTTCGCCCTACAACTTCCTGATTCAGGTAT